CTCTGACCTCAGCACAGGGGCCCAGAGCTCTGGTAGCTATCTGCACTAAGAGCAGCTCACAATCTGCAAAGCAAAGACAAAGGACAGGGTCTGCTCTGACGCCCACTCCCTGCCACTAACCATTGTAAATGTGATCCTTACATTCGTGTGCACATGTTCATCTCTACAGCGCAGCATTTCCCCAAAGTTAAGGGTACACCCAACTAATGGAGTAGCTGGGGGGAGGGATATGGAATGGTGTGGGTGACAGTTTCTCTCACGCTGCCTACTACTCCAGGGCCCAAGGGGGAAAAGATGGCTTTAATTTTCCTGTAGGGCGGCTAGTTTCCAAAACCCTGAGAAACACTGCTTTAGGGAATGAAAAACTGTTTCATTTCAGACATCTCTCTGGGACAATGTTTAGGGTTCTTGGATGGAGACAATCATGGAAATCAGAGCTGAAACAACATGGAAACTACTCCCTCCCTCAATCCAGGAGAGCACGATCTCTCCATGTTTCAGAGAAACATGGTCAAACATTTTCTGGTAGGGGCATCAGAAGGCAGATGGGCCAGCAGAGGGCTACTCCAAACCTGAAGCCCAAACGTAGCAGTAGACCCAGCTGCAGGCCTCCCTTACCGGTATTCTTTGCTTTCTTCAAAGTCCTGTTTGTTGTGTGCTGGTTTCAAGAAGTTGCACTCAATCACCCCAATCACGCCCATGCCATCCCCCTACACCAATGGTCAAAAAGGAAGGAAGAGAACCAATCATTTCAGCCACACTGATTACAACAGAAAAAGAGGCAGCTCCTTCAGGCGAACAATTCCTATTCCCAAGGAATCCCAGAAAAAATGGCAACAAGATTCAGTATCACACATCCCCTCCCTGCTACGGAACTTTATGGTCACATCTCTGCATGCACATGCACAGCAGTAACATGTATCAGATAAGAATGAGTAGTCCTATGGCACTTTAGAGACTATCAAACATATAGGATCATGAGCTTTTGTGGGTAAAATCCACTTCCTCAGATGAGCTGGAGTGGAAATAACAGAATCCAAGGGGGGTAGGCATGTGTGTGTCCATACACACACACGGCTTGACAAACCATGGCAAAATCTACTCGCCGGCCCTGCACTGCGCATGCGCAAGACCCGCATTGCGCATTCGCGCGCTGCCGGTCAACAGGGCGACCAGCTGAAATCTACTTGCCTGATTCAGTGATTTGTCAAGCCGTGTGTGTACGTACACCCCCCCTCCTCCCAAAAGCAGTTACCTGTCAATTGTAGGACCCATGTTAATGAAGCTAATTAAGTAGCCTGGATGTGCCCCATTCATAGCTTCTGATGTGAAAATGCAATGTCAGAAGGCAGAGGAAATTAGCATTGACCAGTTAATATCTTTATTCAAGCCCAGGTTAACAGTGTCAAACGTGTAATCAATTCCAGTTCAGCAGTCTCTCTATGTGGTAAAATTCCTTTGTAGAAGAATGGCTACTTTTAAACTCTTTATTGAGTATCCGGGCAGGTTAAAATGTTCCCCTACAGGTTTATATGTTTCCATTCCTAAGGTCTGATTTGTGTCCATTTATCCTGTGTCACAGACACTGTCCAGTTTGGCCAATATGTAATGGCAGAGGAGCATTGCTGGCATGCTGAACTGGAATTCATTTACAAATTTGACCGTGTCAACCTGGGCTTGAATAAAGATGTTAACTGGTTAACACACTGCAAAGCCGGTTTCCCCTGCCTTTTGACATTCACATTTTCACATCAAAAGCTATGAATGGGACACATCCAGCCTACATAATTAGATTCATTAACACAGGTCCTACAATTGACAGGTGACTGCTTTTGCTGTTATACATACCTTGAATTCTGTTACTTTCACTCCAATTCATCTGGTGAAGTGAGTCTTACCCACAAAGCTCATGATCCTATGTATTTATTAGTCTCTAAGGTGCCACAGGACTACTCGTTGATTTTAAAGTTAATAAATTACCCTTCTGAGACTAAGTATCAGATAGGAATGCTTGGCAATCTCCATCTCAGTCCCCAGGCGACAGACGCCCCTGGAGATAGAGCAGGCAAGGAAAGGCTTAAGTACAAATCCCAAAGGTTATAAATCTGGAATACTGACTAGCTTCCTTTCTCTGAAAGCCACCAATTTATCTATATCTAAGATGACTCCTAGAAACAAAGAAATGACAGCCAGCTTGCTGGCACAGCTATGCTGCCCCACCACTGCAAGGTGATTCGAGAGAAGCGATCGATCCAGGTGGGCAAAGAGGATGGATTTCATGACTTGAGTCCCCCAGCAGCAGCAATAAATCTCAAAGGGCATGTCTGGATCAGTTTCTAGGCATGTTTGGATCAGTTTCTAGACATCCGTATAATATGGATATATCTTCAGATTGACAGCCGAGTTTCCAAGTTCAAGAACTCCGGCACTAAGCTGTTGAGATCCTGGAGGCCAATGGGGACCTGAGGTAAGGATCTATGGACAGGGCCTATCTTTGGTGAAGCTATGTTCCTTTCGCCTCCCCCTTCCTGAGAGCAGAGAGGAAGAACTGATCACTCACCTTCATTTGGCAGCCCACCTTCTCATAGCACTTGATGAGTCGGTTGTTGTGGTACATCATGATCCCAGAGTGGCTATTGTTCTTGCAATTGAACCCAAATGTGATCTTCACCCTTTTGTTCTGAGAGAAAGATTATCAAGGAGAAAAGCTGCAAGCTCCAAGGAAGAAGCAAGGAGAAGTGAATGGTGTTTTGTGGGAATGCTATTGAGGAAAGGGGGCGAGCGCTGATGGAAAACAGCAGAAGGCAAAGGGTCTCCAAAAAGAGATAAAGCACACAAGTCTTCAATGTCTCAACCTCATGACGTAGGTTGTGTGTTGCAGGAGCTGTGCTGTTTAGATTAAAGCAACACCCTTGCCTCTTTAACAGGAAGCCAGAGATGAGCATTGGCCTTTGTAGAGTGAGGAAGGCCTGGTAGTCACAGCCAAAAATGGTGGATAAGTATCACTGCACCCATCTAAATTCCAACAGTTTAACCCAGCCAGTCTGGACAGAACAAGACCATTCGAGAGCAGATTATAAAGTAGTCGAGTTCTGACCAAAGAACCATGATCAAACAGTTCTAACCCAGATGGGGCAGCAAATGAATAAAAACGTGATTAAATTCTGTTGTTTTGCTTTGTAAACAAGACCAAAGAAACCTCAAGAAACAACGAAATGAAGCTATCAAAGACCCACAGAGGTAAAGGAAATTCAGTAAGAAACTGGTTTCAGTTCTGAGCAAAAAAATTCTGCCACTAGGTTTAAAAAAAAAAAAAACACTTGAAGCCATATATGAAGCACAGTCTTGTTACACCAGAAGTATCCTTCTGAGGGCCTATCCCTTTAAGAAGGCTCCCACATTTATGGAATGTAAGTACGGGTGGCATATTTTCATTGTATATCACCATCTGGGGTTATCTTAAGTGTATTCTAACAAACTGCATTCTACAGCGTCAGGGATATATTGCATTTTATTCATGCTGGCTCTGCAGAACCAACACAGTTGCAAGATACGATATATTGCATTTTATTCATGCTGGCTCCGTAGAACCAACACAGTTGCAAGACACCAAGTCAAAGTCCATTCCTTCTTGCACATCCTCATCACTTACTAACCTCCACTTAGGTATACTTACAAACACTTAAGCTCAAGTGTCACCAAAGGCAGGATCTAATCTGTAAAATCTTTACTAGTGAGTAGGATGCACAAACAAGAGACTTAGGATGGGTCCTGATCTCTGGCTGAGTATGTAGGGCTGGGATTAAAAATAACTTCCTCTTTCTTGGTCTTGCACATAGAAACGAGGCCTCAGTTTATACCGAGAGTTCTTCCCTATACATTTTTAAGATGCTTATAGTTTGATACAGGTTTAAATAGGCTTGTGATGATAATGCCAGATAAGCGTGGTACTGGAATTCAGCTGCCAGGACTACCGAAACATGAAGATTCCTTCACTGATCTGGACCCCACTTACACTTGAAACATGCAATGGATTCCATACATTAAGTTGGGACATTCTTGCCCACTCCCAACAATTTCAAGGCTCCCTGAACTATTCAGACTGAGATCCAGCCTCTATGGAGGTGAAGGGAGAGGAGAAGAATCAGACTGAGATCCAGCCTCTATGGAGGTGAAGGGAGAGAAGGAGAAGACAAGTAAGTTTTCAAGGTCATTTCAACCCTTTGTTTCCTACTCTACTCCTCCAGCCAACCCAAATCAATTTGGAGTACAGATGAGAGAGTTTATTTCAATTAGAAAACAAGTGATCTTCACTGTGCGTTTCCCTGGACGCAATGAAATCACCCGGGGTCAGAGGCAGCTATAAGGATACTGTAGAGGTAGGTCTGTATACATCATATTCAATACTGGCCAAGCTCTTGGAGATCAGTTGAGTCTTCACTTTCTTCTGTCGCAGAACAATCTGCATGCGGGGCTTCAGGTACAAGATACTACAGTATGCCTGGTAGCAGGGGACAAGGCAAGAAGAAAGGCATTATGGCACAGGCTGCTCTAGAAACTTTTTGGGGGAAAAAGTGAAGTCAGTTGACAACGCAATCAGTCCTGTATAGCCAAATAGCCAAGTCCTTTAACAGCAAACAGATACCCAGCTTGAATTCCACAACTTTTAATTCCATGAGATGTGTTACACTGAAGGGCCCTGGCATGTCTGACATCAGCACAGACTCTTAACTCACATTGATCCTTTCCCTGCATCTGTCCTACGCAATCAACTCCACCATCCCTAACTCACCCGTAAGGAGTATTCTGTTTCTGGTGCAAAGGACTCTGGAACCTTCTCAAGACGAGGAGGAACCTTTCTTCCAGCATTCTCTGACTCCTCTGGGCCGAAGTCCGATATTCGAATGTCATGCTTGTCTGTATCAAAGTCCAATTCAGTCTTCCCATCTTTATTTCTGACAAACACAACAAAAAAACCCTATCCAGTCACCCTGTATCAGCAACAGAATAGTTTTATAGCAATCCAACTATACAGCAATGGTCTTTGAACTTTCAGGGTCACCCCCCTTCACCTTCTCTGCACCCCCATCTTCCCCCAAGCTTGAGCCATGAGCTACAGCTCGAAGGAGGGAGAGGGGAGCGGAACCACAGACAGAGATAATGGAACCAAGGCGGGGGCCACAGCTCTGAGGTTAGCTGCAGCTCTGTTCCTAGCCTGTGAACAGGGTGGGGCAGCACCTTAGCCCAAAAAACCTGGAAAAACTGAGCTCCACTATTCAGTTTCCCCTATTACTAAATTTATTATTTCTCAGCAACAAATTTAAGGACATAATCCAATTAATAAAAAGGGGGGGGGGGGAAAAACTGAAACTTCAGAATTAAAAAATTCTCTTAGTGCTTACTCTAAATAACTGGGTGTGGAAAAGAAACGTCAGGATAGTTGTATTGGTTAAAAGCTAAAACCAGAAGTATCATCTAAAAATATTTGACATTTTATAACACCTTCCCAAGCATTTCCTAAACAATATGCATGGGAACACCTCTGAAATGCTGCTACTTTTAGGATATCTTGTGGGAGCCAATAGAGACAGAACACTACACAATAATAGATAAAGGGGAAATTTAGCAAAGAGACGTAGGTAATACCCTACTCTAATAAGCTACATATGGGATCTTTATATAGCCATGCACCAAAAGCAGGGTCTTGGTCATCAAAGTGCAGTTCTACTGGACAAAGAGACTGAAGAGGGCACCATGCAGTTCTGTTATTGGATCAATTATTTCTGGTTTCCAATGTGCTCAGTCTACAAGTAACATGAAGTATTTCTGAAGGTGATCCCTGAAAATTTTGAAATTCAAGCTTGGGTCTTGGCTCCTCATGTGCCACATGAGCTAATAAAACCTCTGCAGCTGAATTTAGGCCCTCAGTGACACCCGTGCTCAGCCATTTGTTTCAGCACAGTTGTAGCCACTGGAACGTAATCCATTCTCATGATGCTCAGAGCAGACACTCCCGAGTCCAGAAGATTCTCTCTTAGCCAGGATGGCTCTGCAGGGTTAAGAGGAGGAAGGGCTGCAGCCGAACATATTTAGTCACTAATGCCAGCAGATCTGACTGGGATCCTTCCTAGCAGCGAACTTGTGGAGTAAGATGGTGTCATTGTTATGCTTGAAAGAGCCAAACACAGCAAGTTGCATAAAATTGGACATTTGTATCCTGGAAGACTGAACTGACCCTAATGCAAATTGGGCCTGGCTAGGAACCCACTTCTTAAAGGTAATTCAGTAGCCTCTCTCCCCTCAGCCTTACAGAGGGCTGCACCTACCATTTCCCACTCATCCCTCCTTGCGTGCCCTGGCTCCCTGTACCTGCGGATGTTCCAGATGAGAATCCGTGTGCCCTTTTTGCCTGGAATGGCATCAAATTGAGCCAGCAACTCCTCCTCGGTATTGAAGAGCGTATGTTTCAGGATGGCCTCGAGGCTGGACCCAGAGTCTTCCGTAACAATCATTTTCTTTAGAAGCCACAGAGTTAAAGAAAGAACAAAACTGCCCTGTGTTTCGCCCCTTGCCGCTACCAATGAGACATGAAGAATTTAGATATTACCGCCTAGGCAGGAGATACACACACAAATAGCACCCATCAGGAGCATGACAGAGCACAGTGCCAATACCAGAGGTGTCCAAACAGGAGGTAAAGCATGCAAATTCCTGAGCAAGAGAAGTTGTCGGAAAAATACCATCAGGCAACAATTTTATCAGGGAGGGAGCATGTAAAGTTATGCACTGCTGTTAATGCAAGGAGGTATACCATGCACAACCATTACAGCCCATGGGAACGATGCAATACAGGCAGCTGTGTATTTAAGGCTCCCATCATTACGGAGACAGCACCATATGCAGGTATCACACCACCCAACGAGCATATTAATGCTACAGAGCAGTCAAACTACGTGGGGGCACAGACCGCACTACTAGGAAAGAGGCGGCATTCCACAGGAGATGGAGATGTAGTTACTGCAGTGACTACCCAGGGGGTTATGCTGAACGTGGAAATGAGCAGGAGTGCCCACCAGATCATGACAAATTCTGACATAAGTGCAAGGGAATAATATGATGGATGCAACACCAAGCACATGTGTTGTTATGGGGGCTCTCCAAACGCAGCACTGAACTATGCCGTAGTATTCCATAAGATGACGCCTGCCAGAGGTGTTAGCTGAGGCAGTGGCACATGCAGACAACACTGTGGGAGCTACCCAGGTATATCCCCGAAAACCCTCAACATCAGAACTCATGTGAAGACACTGTTGCAACAATGGCACCTCATGAAACACGAACCTGTGGACTTCCTCGGTAACATGCTTCTCCCACCCCTGCATCCCTTCCCAGATGATTCACACTGCACAACCACTCTTGCCTTACAGGGAAGGATATTATTTTGCTGGTTGAACGGTATCACCGGGACAACAACAGCCTGAGCATGGACCCGTTCCAAATAGGTCTGCGAAAGGAGTCCCACGCTGAGCGCACCTCCATTCTTGGTGAAGACAATGGCATCCTTTCCCAGACGCATGGAGCCTGACTTGAAACCATTACCATACACTCCAATGGATGGGTGGTTCTTCTTCACTGCTTTGTCTGTGAAGCCAAAGCTGCAAATCATAGTCAGTCAGTCAAGGGGAAAGCTGTCTGAAAGAGGGCAGCAGGAAGAGGAACAGATGGAGTAAAAAGCAATTTTAAATGTGGAGCTCCCTGGTGGTCACCCAAAGAGCAATAGGCAAATGAATAATACTTGGCTTAATACAGCACTTCCCATCTGAAGATCTCAAAGCACTTTGCAAATGGAGGTTCAGGGAGGTAAAAAGACTAGCTCAAGGTCACTCTAAGCAATGGCAGAGCTGCAATTAGAACCCTGTTCCCCTGATGTCCGGTCCTTTGCTCTAATCATTGCACAGTGGTGCTTGAATGTAAGTTTTATAATTAACATTTCTTTAGTGCCTTCTGCCTAAGGACTTCTAAGCACTAATTATGCCAAAGGCATAAAGATCAGCTGGATGCTCTTGCTGTTGGTTCCTAAAGTAAAAGTATCAAGTAAAAGGTCCAGCAGGGACCCCCCCCCAGGAGAGGGGCTGCTGCTGGAAAGAGGGCAGGCTGGGGAACTGGCTTTTAAGCCAGCTCTCCCTAGTACCAGCTCCTGCTTCCCCATCTTCCTCTTGCTGCCTCTAATACAGAGGTAGCGGGGGGATGGGGAGGGAGAGAAGAATGCAAGTAGTCAATTCAGCTTCCCGATAAGCCTAAGGCTTATCAACGACTCTTTAAAACCCCACAGAGCACCACAACGAGCCAATGACAATCAGGATTAGACCCCACATGTCTTCTCCTCACTGTGCTCTAAGTACTAGACTATGCTGCCACAGCAGGCATCTGACAAACCAGCATGTTTACCCCGCAGTAGGGATTAGCAAGACCGAAAAGGGTCCAGCCTCCCCTCCCATCAGATCAGACAGTCAAGGCCAGTTCAGGTATCTACCATGCCTGCTTCCCCGATTATCAAGGAAGCATTTGTCTTCACTGTTCACGTTTCACTTCATGAGTTACAACAGACACCACCATGCCTCACTGATACTGCAATTACATCACATGCTACCTCAATGAGATCGGCCTCACACACCAGTAGAGCATGATATGTGAAGTAAGAAAAACGCCAAGATATTGCAGCCATGCAGTTTCAATCAGCAGTGCATCTCCACGACTGAGTCTCCTGTGATCCAAACTACTAAAACCAGCTTGATAAAGAATCAATCTTGACATAAGCCCACAGCACCATTCCATTCCGCCTCTAAAGCACTGCATGTCCCACTCACCTATTAACTTGACACTTAACGGTGTCTAATCAGGAGAGACTAGAGATGGAACCCTGATAATAAAGGTGGTTCCTTGAAATGTAAGCAACCTTTTGGGAGGGAAGGGAGAATGGGGGGGGAAAGGGGGGGGGGGGGGAGATCACGAAATTCCCTTTCCTAGTCTCATTATCTATCCTCCATGTAAGTATCTATGTGCCGGCAATGCTGGGCCCCTCCATCTAATTCTCTTTTCATTCTTTCTTCAATGTGCATGGGTGAGACACCCTCACCACACCCAAATGACAGGAAGGGTGAAGAAGTGATGTAGGAAGGAAAGATGGTTACTTCGTGGCTTTGCCACACCTCATTCTAGCTCACTCTGGATTAGTCTTGCATCAGATTTGGAAAGCATCTCCCTAGTTCTAGGAAAGGATTTTGCAATGAGCTTTCAATGAGAAATTATTAACAGATAAAAGAGGCCTACTACCCTCCCCCTCCCCCAACTCAATTTCACAGTCACTTCATATTGACACAACAGAACCTGAATTAAGAGACCAAACCATTGCTTTCCTCCCTGACCACACAGAACAGGAAGGGGCTAAGGCTTCTGGTTTTCACTTCCTGAACCCCTCTGACTTTTCGGAAGAACTGTGGTTTTGTGTTCACAGAATGTAAAGAAATGATAGATTCTCTGCTTCTGTCCCCCACCTTCTCTTATCTAGCACCAAATTGTTGCAGAGGAACGACCAAACCGCGCACTACCCCAAGTGACTATCTGCTTTGCAGACTGCCTTCTGGAAACAAGGAAAATTATGAATAGGGCTAATGGAAACCTGGAGGTTACATGGCATTTGTTCTGAGAGAAAAAACAGAACAGCACAATGAATGGTGCAGTAGCATGCAAGTGAGGAGAAATTCCCCCAGACGTACTGGAAATGCAACTGAACGAGGGCTTGGTGATGCTCCAAGGAAAAACAGACATGAGCATAAGACTTAGGAAGAAGATGGAAATGTGTGACTGGTCCCAAAGGAACAGACATCTGATGCTCCCTGAACATCTGCAAGGCACAGAGGCATAAAGGAAGCAGCTTGCACAGGAAGATGCAGAAGCAAGTTTTTACTATTTTCTAGCCTGATAAGACTCCTGAAAAATTAACTGCCAGTTTGAACATGCTACTTGCAACGTAGATAGCACTCACTATTTATATTGCTTGGTGTTCAAGATACAGATTCAATGCCCTTCTCCACCCTCAGTAAAGGATGATGATCACATGGCCTCAGTATGAGGAATAAACCTAAACTAACCTCACCAAGAGCAAATAAGATCACCTTGCATCACATCCTGAAGTTTGTTGAATTCAGGCTGTCGCAGACCTAAGTGGAGGGTGGAGACTCTCCTGGGAAAGCCAAATGTTGAGAATTTTACCTTTGAAACCAACTGCAAGAGTATCCAGCTGATCTTTATGCCTTTGGCAGGGGATGGGATGAGAGGTGGTATCTTAAGAATGTTACTGAGTGCTTGAGATAGAAAAGGTAATGTTACACTTAGGCATATTTGATAATCTATGAAAAAAAAAGTACCAAATTAAATTTTATTTTTTTAAAGTTAGTTATATAATAAAAATTGAAATGGACTTGAAATTCCTCACTGAAGAGAATGGGTAAGGTAGTTGGGGTCTTACCAATGAACACCAATCTGACCTACCAGATCCCCCCTATCAACACAAAAGGAAGAATAATTCTATATGGACTCCCCCTGACGGTTGGAATTACAAAATTACCTATTACAAAGATAGCTTCCCCAGTTATCACCTCTAATACCATTAACTCACAGACATCTACCCTTCCCCACCTCTAACATCATTAACTCACAGACATTTACCTTCCTTCCCCCCCCCCATCCCCCTTCTGTTCTGAAATGTGATTTGTCCTTTTCATATGTGTTCATTTTTTTTAATTGTATCCTTTGGTATAATTTTGTTTCAGCTACACCAGACTAACACGGCTACATTTTGTTTCAGCTACACCAGACTAACACGGCTACATTTTGTTTCAGCTACACCAGACTAACACGGCTACATTTTGTTTCAGCTACACCAGACTAACACGGCTACATTTTGTTTCAGCTACACCAGACTAACACGGCTACTAACATGTTCTCTAAAACTGTGAGCCATTTTAACATTCTGAGGACAAGGGGGACAAGATGGGGAACTCATTGTTACCATGTGTCCTCAAAAACGAGATCACGGATTCCTGATTTCATTTACTAACTCCAGGAGACATTTGTTTATTTTATTCCCTGCCCCATGTACTGCAGCATGGACTCTTGCTTAGTGCATATAATTCATGCCAAATGACTTCAGCTAGGCCAGGGACAGGTTGTTACACGAGGAAGCCCATGCATGCAACAGCCCTTAATGTAAAAAGTCAGACGTCCCTGGACCATGCACTGTATGTTTAATAAAAAGCTCATGGGAGGGTAAATCTAAAAGCAGTTATCTTAGTATTTTGCACAGTGTGTGGGAGAGAAAGAAAAGAGAAACCACAGGGAGTGCTCATGTACATTTGAATCAGGATTCCTGAAATCCTGAACTCTGGGTCAACGACAACGCTTGCTTGCAAGATCTGAATCCAAGGTAGCAGAATCATACCAAGGTGAATTCTTAGCTTGTTACCTGAGCATACGGTGAAGTTTGTGAGGTGTCATTCCAGCACCATTATCCGTGAAAGCCAAACAAAGTTCCCCCTTGATCTCCACAACATCAATGCAGAGAAGCTTAGCTGTCACACCAGGATCTGAGGCATTGTCTGTGGAAGGAAAAAATCTGGGCAATTAGGTATACTCATTGCTGACACACAGATCTCCTTTTCTTCGGATCTAAGAAATGAAAACATTCTTGAATCCTGCTTCTCCCAAGTACAGGGAAACGCCCGATAGAGGATACATCATAAAAATGGCCAAAAAAAGGTACATTTAGCTCAATCTCGTGTCTGCCGACAGTGGCCCAGGAGAGGTGCTTCAGAAGGAATAAAGAGAACAGATAATCAAGTGAGCTCATTCCCAGCTTCTGGCAAACAGAGGTTGAGAGCCAATGATGGACCTTACCTCCAGGAGTATATCTAGTTCTTTTATGAACCAGTTGATCCTTGGCTTTCACAACATCCTCTATCAAAGAGCTCCAAAGGGAGGCTGTCCATTGTGTAAAGCAGGGTTGGGGAACCCAAGGCCCAGTCCCTAGCTTGCCCGGATCCAGACCCTGAGACCTGGGGCTCCCCCCAACTCCTGCCAGCATTGGGGAGCTGATGCTGGTGCTCTGGCCCTGCAATCTCCCCATAGTCCTCTCAGTGCCAGGCTGGAGTGCCAGCCCTGGCTGCCAGCTGCGAGATGGGGGCGGGGAGTCTCAAGCCTCATGGACCAGAGTTAGTGTCTGGATCTGATTCACAGGCTATGACTGGCAGGGGGAGGAAGTTGCTTCTGCACCACTCCTGCCCAGAACCCACATCCCAAGCCTGCTTCCAGGCAGCCCCCCTTCCACACACTGAACCCCTCATTTTTGGCTGTGGACCTCCTTACGCTCTGCTGTGCAAGGGGAGCGTGGGAAATGTCTTTCTGCTTCTCTGTTAGGGGTCACGTCAGTGAGGGTTTGGGGTTCTTTTTGGTTTTGCTTCTCACTTTCGTGCAGCCCCCAACTGGTTTCTCTGTGGATGAGCAGCCCCCACCCAAAAAAAGGCTCCTCACCCCTGGGGTAAGGGAATACTTCCTTTTGTTTGTTTTAAACCTGCTGCCTATTCATTTCATTGGTGACCTCTACTTCTTCAGTTAGTAAATAAGGAAGTGTTGTTTAGTCCTTTTTTATTTCTCCACACCAGTCTTACCCTGAACACTCTGCCAGGAGCTCCAGCGCCTCACTCTGACCCCCCAGCCATGGCTACCAGAACCTTGAGCAGTCCGCCAGCACAGCTACCAGTGCTTTGAGCAACACCCAGTGCCCTCCAGCCCCCACCCTGCACTCCACCACAGCTACCAGAGCTAGAGATGTAAGCAATTAGTCCAGGGGTGGATAAAAGGGCCTCTGGGGGCCAGAAATAGCCTGAGAACGCCCTGCCACTCCCCAGATCCATCAGGGCCTGGGGACGGGGGAGTGCGCAAAGTCAACCACCAGAGTTGACTAAGTGCTGCACACCCCTTGCAGGACGGGGACAAGATGATAAGTGCTGCACACCCCTTGCAGGACGGGGACAAGGTGAGAGGAGACTTTGCGCGCTCCCTCCACCCCCAGGCCCTGACTGACCTGGGGGCAAGGGGAGCACAGGAAGTCTCCTTCCATCACCAGGGACGTGGGCACCAAGACTTTATCACATCCACCCCCAAGTCAATCATGGTCTGAAGCAGGGAAGCCTCCACCCGTCCTGGCCCTGGCCCTGGCCCTGCCCCTGCCGGGGAAGCCCGGAGCCACTTCAATAATTTCTGAAGTGGCTCCCTGTCTAAAATTATTGCCCCCCCCTGGACTAGTCAAGTAGTCGACTCCCCGACAAGCCTAGATGTATCAGGTAATCGAGTCACTACTCAACTAGCCGCTCCCCACCTTGCAGAGGCAGCAAAGTGGGGGAGAGGAGCCGGCACTTAAAAGCCGTTCACCCCAGCACCGTCTCTGTGGGGGTCAGAGGAGTAACGGGAGACCAGGCAGGAGCTGGGAATCAGCTGTCCCGGCTTTTGCCCAGTCCCAGACCCCCACCTTGCAGAGGCAGCAAAGTGGGGGAGAGGAGCCGGCACTTAAAAGCCGTTCCCCCCAGCACCGTCTCTGTGGGGGTCAGAGGAGTAACGGGAGACCAGGCAGGAGCTGGGAATCAGCTGTCCCGGCTTTTGCCCAGTCCCAGACGCTGCACTTCTGCTTTTTAAATGTAGTAAGAGCCGGAAGGGCTGCTCAGGGCACTGGTAGCTGTGCTTGGGGGGGCAGAGTATGGGGCTGGAGGGCCCTGGGAAGTGTTCATAGTAAGATGGTGGCTCTGCCTGGAGGCTCTTACTACATTTAAAAAGCAGAGCCACAGCGGAGCTAGCTCTTGGGGGTGGTGTGAACAGGGACAGCTTAGTCCTGGCGTGCACTGCCCCAGGGAGCTAATCCCACTGGGGTTCTGCAGTTTACATGGGGTAGCGAGCGCCCTTCCCTTACCGACTGATCGAGTAGTCGATGGAAATTCCATCGATTAGCCAATTAGCTGCATTTTAACAACCTCAATCACGGCCCCCAGCACAGCTACCACGGCCCCCTAGCCCTGCCCACCAGCACAGCTATCAGTGCCCTGAGCAGCTCCCAGTATCCCCAGCCTCCTGCCCTACCCCCAGTGCCCTGAGCAGCCCCCCCCCCCCCT